AAGCAGAATACAGAAACCCTCCTAGCTGAGACACTTCTGATCCTCATAGCCAATTGGCTTGGAGATCAACGCTTCCTAGTGATACCAACAACAAGCAAGGCTTAACAACAAGACTGCCCACCCATCCCACAAAGGGCTACACCAAGACTGTCCACCTCATGTAACTGGGAGGCTGACTCACTGAACCATATAGGACACCTTAGCACACAAAGCCACCCTACCAACTCAGGAAATCTGTGAAAATGCCAAGTCAAGGAATTAGATCACAAACAAAAGAAATGGAGGAAAAGAAGAGACTGGATATAGAGTTCAAAACCACCCTTATAAGGTTTTTTAAGAATTTCCTAGAAAAGGTCGATAAGACCTATGAGGAGATGAAAAGGGATCAACAAGAACTAATAAGGGATCAACAAGAACTAATAAAGGATCAACAAAAAATAAAGAATACATTGTCTGAAATAAAAAATATTATACAGAGTCCTAAAAGCAAAATGGAAGATCGCAAGAATCAAGTAAAAGATTTGGAACATAAAGAGCCAGAAGATACTCCTGCACAGAAGCAAGAAGTCAAGAGAATCCAGAAAGTTGAAGATGATTTAAGAAACCTCTGGGATAACTTCAAGCGAACCAACATCAGAATTATGGGGGTCCCAGAAGATGAGAGAGAGCAAGATATCAAAAACATACTGAAAGAAATAGTGACAGAAAACTTCCCCCACCTGGTGAAAGAATTAGACTTACAAGTCCAGGAAGCGCACAGAACTCCAAACAAAAGGTATCCAAAGAAGACCACACCAAGACACATCATAATTAAAATTCCAAGAGCAAAAGACAAAGAGAGAATATTAAAAGCAGCAAGAGCAAAGCAGGTGTATACCTATAAAGGAGCAACCATACGATTGTCAGCTGATTTCTCAACAGAAACCATGCAGGCCAGACGAGAATGGCAAGAAATATTCAAGTTAATGAATAGCAAGAACCTACAGCCAAAAATAATCTACCCAGCAAAGCTATCACTCAGAATCGAAGGCCAGATAAAGAGCTTCACTAATTAAAAAAAAAGCTAAAGGAGTTCATCACAGTAAACCAGAATTATATGAATTGCTGAAGGGGGTTCTTTTAGAAGAGAAAGTAAATAAAGATAAAAATTATGAACAACAAATATGTAACTATCAACACGTGAATCTAAAAACCAAGGGAATTAAAAAAAAATCTTATGAACAATATTAACTGGTGAATATAATAGAATCAGAGGTATAGAAGGGGAGTGGACTGATGATTCTTGGGGAAAGGGGGAGAGGGGGGTATAGGAAGAGACTGAACATAAACTGTGCACCTATGGATGAGGACAATGGGGGGTGGGGAAAGGGCAGAGGGTGGGGTGGGAACCTGGTGGAGGGGGAAAAATGAGGAACTTTTGTAATAATATGAACAATAAAGATTTATTAAACAGAAAGAAAAAAAATAAATAAATAAAATGTTTTAGAGAAATAAAAAAAAAGAAATGTTTTTTATATGTGTGTGTGTGTGTGTGTGTGTGTGTGTGTGTGTGTGTGTTTCAAATCAGTATCACTGTAAATACTCTTATACAAGCAAAGACTTGTGCTTTCTAGGCTATAATAAAAATAGTTGTAACACTGCTTGATCAATTATAGTGCCTTTTTAAAAGAAATATGTAGAGACTCATCCTATGAAAACTTATGAAAATAATTTAATTTACAAGATATATTATTTTAGAAAGCAAAAAATATTTGTGTTATGATAACCATTATGCCTCACTTGTGGGAAAGAAATTTGAGGCTAAACAACTCTTGTCTCTTATAATTGCTGTGACATAGAGTAAACTTAAAATGCATTTCTTTAGAATCATTATGTCCAACTCCAAGATCATGAAAACTGACCTCCCCTTGGAGAAAAATTCATATTCTATACCCGTGTCCTTTACTGTATCTCACATGGTCATAAAAGAATCTTGCTCCATACTTCATGTCCACCTGAGACCAGCACTTCATATGACCTTTTGCACATGATCCCCCTGGAAAATTTGCAGAAGTTACACAAATCTGAAACTACTATTATCACCGAAAGTTAAAATGGTGTCCTAATGATTGTTAGCTGTGATGAGCAATACTAGCTACAGCTTTTCCCAGCCCCCTGCTGCATTGAAATGTAATCGGTTTTCTGTCTTTTTTTGCAGCATGGCTGTCACGGGCAATAACATAATTTTGCATATGCATCAGTTTGGCTCTAGTGCAGATTTTTGTTCACATTGGACTCCTACTGATGTGCACTGATTTAAAGTCTGCAAATGAAACTTAATTTTATATAGCTTATAAGTAGTCCCTAGAGGGTATTGGATCCTAAAAGCTAATATTTTTCAGACATAATCAGCGGGAAGAGGTAATGCATTACCATTAGCTACATTAGCAGCAACCATAACAAAAGGAAACAGTAAACATGAATGCTCTGAGTGACTTCATACTTTACAATAAATATTAATATAAAATAACACAAATTAGGGTTGCAGTTTAATGTTATGCAGCGTGTTTATCCATAATGATTGTTTCATATTTAAAGAACACCAAAATACTGTGTTTTATCAGCCAAGGACAATAATAGTTTAATAATAATCTATTTTAAACAGATAGTGATAATACAACCAATCAACACATTGAGTGGTGCCAACATTGGCATCTTGCTAAATAATCTCTAGACATTGCAGAGAGTACATCTTTCAAAGATAAGTCAACAAGAGCAATCAGAGCAGAAAATTAGAGTTTGGTATCTTAGAATTAAAATACAGCTAAACTAAAGTTTTAATTGGGGTGATCTAAAAGGGCACTTGATGTAATGATCTCTTTCATTTGTTACTAATTGTTTGTTCCTGATTTAAAAAAAAAAAAAAACATATATAAGAATGTTGCTGAATTGAGTGAAGATGGCAGTTTCCTTAGCAGCTATGTATTATTGTGAAAAATGAGAGTAGGGAGGGGCAGAAATCCTTTAGCTTGTTTCATATCACCATAATTAATCCAGGGAATTCAGGGTCAGGTATACAAATATGAACTAACTTATACTTGCTTGAAAAGTGACTAGACATGGCTTATGGCAATGCTGCATTGGCAGGCAGAAGTAAGGGGCGTCTCTTTTGTGCTAAGGAGTCGCAATTTCTGATTCAAGCTGCTTGTGTTGTCTACTGCAAAGGGGTCACGTGGCAGAGTAGATCTACAAGTGGACCAACTTCCACTTCATACATAATTTCAGTTGCAAATGTCAGATTCTGATGTTCATGGACCAAGGCAAAATATCTTTTACTTTCAAATAGCTTTTTGTATTCTGAATTGCTAAAAACAGAAAATTGAGCTTTTAGTTTTACTAATAATTTTACTGATAATTTTCTAAAGTACCTTAGGAGAGAACACAGGCAGCATGCTTGGTATATGTTTTATATATTCTCAGAAACTCATTTTCAAAAATCTCAGGATATTATTAAATTTAAAAAATAGCATAAAAATTAAAAATAGCATACAGTGAATCAATATATGATTCCATAACCAGTTGAATAAATAAACCCTGCCTTTGCCATTTGCTCACGATTTACTATATTGTCAAATAGTTCCCTACAAGTAATTCTTTATTTATTATGACTATTTTAATGCTTTTTAAAAATAATGCACTATGAAGCCACTAAGCTTTAGACTCCTTCCATATATATCAAGAAAAATATACCAGTTTTATAAATTTTATTCAGCAAATGTTCAAAATATACTATATTATAGGCATTCTCTGGGTCCTAGGGGCATAGTCGCAAATGAGAGAAAATGGCCCTGCCTCAGAGAGCTTTAGTGTGGTATAGAAGACACAACATAAAGCAATAAAAAATATATGACAACATTACAAAATAGATGCTATGAAGAATTTTAAGGAGGCAATAACAAGATGTGTTTAGGTAGGTGGTAAGAGAAGGGCTTTCTTAAGTGGTGAGTAAGCAAAGGTGAAATGAAATGAGGGTATAAACCATATAAAAATTGGAAGGAAAAGCATTCTAGAAAGGATCAGAGAAAACAAAGACCCTTGTGCAGAAACAAATTGAGAACCATAAATACGCCCACTTTATCCTATATAATAAAGAGGTAATATGCAAATTGACCATCACACAAAAATGGCCACCCCCATGTGGTCACAAGATGGCTGCCACAAGATGGCTGGCAGGGGAGGGATGTTGTGAGCAATCAGACCAGCAGGGGAGGGCAGTTGGGGATGACCAGGCCACTAGGAGAGGACAGTTGGGGGCAACTGGGCTGGCAGGGGAGCAGTTAGGCATCGATCAGGCTGACAGGGGAGTGGTTAGGGGGTGGTCAGGCTAGAAGGCAGAAGCATTTAGGGGCAATCAGGAACTCAGGCAAGGGAGCAGTTGGGAGCCAGCAGTCCCGAATTGTGAGAGGGATGTCCAACTGCTGGTTTAGGCCCAATCCCACAGACTAAACCAGCAGTTGGATATCTTCTAAGGGGTCACAGATTGGAGAGGATGCAAACTGGGCTGAAGGATACCCGCTTCCCACCCAGTGCACAGATTTATGCACAGGGCCTCTAGTCTAGTATAATTTTGATAGGGAATAGTGGTGAATGAGCTCCCAGAGATAGGTGCAAGCCAGGAACACTTAGGGTTGCATAAACCATTTTCAGTCTAATGTTTAAATCAGGTCTTTTTTAGACATGCTTATGTGCTGCCCTCATTTAGCATTAGATTTAAATATTCTAATTAGAAGCAACTAAACTTGAATGCTGAAAATATTTGTCTTCCTACAATATTACAATATTTTCATTAGATTTATAAACTGTGTGCTTTAATTATAGTGCTTGTCCTAGTAAGTGCAGAGTGAATGCACAAGAATGGAAGAATTTGATAAGAGAATTTTTCTCTTTTGAAATGCCTTTAAGTAGTGAATGAAATGTGCTTTGTACAAAATATATCAGTTCTGAATACTTTCTTTGTACAGGGGCTCTTGAAAGTTGCCATAGATAATGCCAGAGCTCAAGAAAAACAGGTCCAACTGGAAAAAACAGAGCTGAAGATGGATTTTTTAAGGGAACGAGAACTAAGGGAAACCCTTGAAAAGCAGTTGGCTATGGAACAGAAAAATAGAGGTATTTTCAAACTTCCAAACATGGTTAACACTTTGTGTAAAATGTTTACAATGACAGTACTATGATTGGTGATTTACTATGAGAGTATACTTTTTGTTTTTTACTTATAGCTAAAGTTCAAAGTAAAACTTGAATCCTGGGCTCATGTATTTCTTAATTTCTAGTGCACATGGTTTCTCTACTGTTGATACCTCAAGATATTGAAATATATCTATTATATCATTAATCACATAATTTTTATTATGAGCCTCACAAATTTATAATTTTAAGATGGACAGCAATGAAGGTAAATTTTATATATAGTAACAGTTGCCTTTTGAAAAACGAGTTAAAATCATAAAGCTAAAAGAGAAAATACTGATTATTCAAGTGAAACAGATTTAGTAAGATATTTATCAAATGAAATTGAAGACTGATGATTGTCTGAACAATTGACCAAAGATGAGTTATATAATAATGCTTCACTCAACAAGCTCAAGTACACATTACAGTAGAAACCAATATGAATATTTATTGGGTAAAAATAATAATATTCTCAATCTATTGCTCTGTTAACACACTGTACAATGCATGTATACATAATTTTGAAGATCATTTATATTTGTGTGTTTATTTTATGTATGAGATTGAAGAATATTTTGTTTGCAAGCAACTTTGCCATAGCCCCAACAATAAGTTTCTCCTAAGTATTCTAGAAAGAGTGCTTCTTTTTTTTCATTTGATAATATCCATAACAAATATTATACGTATTCTCCTTTTGGATATTTGACATAGACATTTAAAAATTAGTGTTCTGTTTGTTTTCAAAACTGGCAGGACTACGTATGTTTTTTCATCAATTACTATGAAGCCACAGCTAGGGGTTCCTGGGATGAGGTTGATTTATGAATGAAATTGTCAACCCAATAATACAGTTCTAAATAATGTGGCTTCACTGATATAATCAAAACAAGATAAACATTGGTAACAAGGTATGTTCTAAGTGCATAATGAAATTTGGTTAGAGTTCATTATATGGGAGCATATTCCCTATGATCGCCATGTCTTGATTTTGTTTGCATCTGGAAAAATCTTTCTTCTAAAAATTATTTTACAATACTTAAAGGCAGATCCCTGAATTCCTAAATTAGCTTTTGGTTACTTGAGGGACCTTAAGAGTTTTATTGGAGGATTTATACTCTGTTTTACTTCTTTAACCACTAGAGGGCAAAACATTTCACAGATCAAACCAAGAACTTACCATTTAATTAATTGTGAACAATAAATTAAAGGTAATAACTGTCAATAATTATGTCTTACGACTATACCTATTTAAACAATGTATTATTCTTAGGTGAGAACATGGCATTCCCATTTGGTTCAATCACACAGGAAGGAAACAGTGAGCGGCCAGTGGCAAGGGGATGGGTATTGAGTGTTTAGTGCCTTGGGTGTGTACAATCCAATAATAATTCAGAAGCTACTGTTCCTTTTCAAAGAGACTTATAAACAATCATCTTTGGAAAGGGAAATAGTAGGAATGTGATTTTGTTAAGATAAGCATATCATCTTCATACTATTGAGTAAAGGAAATTAGCACATTTATTTGAAACCAGCTTTGTTTTTTTCTGTAAGATGGTAGCCAATGCACATTTTCTGTTAATATATGATACCAGCAACAATAAACTCAACAAAATAATAGTCTGACTTCTTAAAAATATTAATAATTATATAAATGGTATGTATTGACCTTAGAAATTGTAACTAAAATTCTTTCTTGAGGCATTTTACCTTACTTTATATACTGACTAAACACTGTTACAGAATTATTTTTCTTTTTTAATCTGTAGTAAGAAATCAAATAGCACACTTAGGATGATTGTTCCTTATTACTAACTATAACAGAAGGATTTTCTCATATGAATTCTGTCACATTAAATCCACAATATTTAACAGCCATCAAAAAGGGTATTTCAAAGAAAAACATTTGTATGCTTCCCATATGCTGATTGCTTACTTTATGTACACATTGTAAAAAAAAAAATCATACTGAAAATACAGCTGACATCCACATTATGAAGAACATTTATTTTTCATTATTTATTGATTGTATATTGCATACAAATATTTAAATTATCCAGTAGGAAAAAATGTATCGTAATCAATTTTTTGTATCATAATCTACTTTCTTATACTATGGCACATTATTGTTAGCGGTAGCATACTATTATTAGCAATGAGGTTTTATTTTCCACCAAATGTCAGAAGTATAAGTTTCTTGAAATGTATTAAAGTGTATATATATTTGCTATGAGGTAATTATTAATAATTATTATTATAATACCTCCATCTGAAATATTTCTGCTTATATATGTTAACAGTAATTAAATATATTTACCTCCTCATATAAAATAATATTGTATTTCCTAAAATTTCAAGATAGAAAAAATTTTCAAGATAGAATTATTAAAAGTTTAGCTGGTGTAACATTGTTTTGTAAAAAGGGAAATATACCATTTACAACTTAAAATTGGTGCTTCATAAATAGGAGACATACTTATACATGTTTGTGCTAGTCTAGACTACTCTGCACTATTCTGATTCAAGGGCAGAGACTAAGCCCAAACATTCCTTTAATTAGGCTTCCTTTATCAGTGAATTCAAATATTTACTAAAATTAGTTTCCCATTAAATCTGTCTCTAAAAATTATAATTAAAGCCATTCTTACATTGTAATATAGTTCAAGGCTAAGTAAAAATTGGCCTCCTTGGACATTTTACTGGGATTTATTTTAAGGTTACATTTTTTCCACTTCCTCTGCATAGGTAGACTCTATCTAGTGGATGGAAAAAGAGTATTGTATTATAAGAAAGATAGATCACTTATAAGTTTGATAAATGTTTAATTTAATACTGCAAAAAATTAAGAAAAAATAATGTGGACTCCCTTTTCTAGCCATAGTTCAAAAGAGGCTAAAGAAGGAGAAAAAAGCAAAGAGAAAATTGCAGGAAGCACTTGAATTTGAGACGAAACGGCGTGAGCAAGCGGAACAAACACTGAAACAGGCAGCTTCAACAGATAATCTCAGGGTCTTAAATGGTAAGAGATACATTTTTATGTGTTGCAAACTAACTTCCATTTTTTAAAATAGACCATTTAGACATGAGTTTGTGGTTTTGTCTATATTTAGGTCCTGTCATTTGTTAAATTGTGCTCCTAGCTGAAAGCGTTGTGTGAAGAATACTCACATGTGCTGAGGGAAATGCATTACTATTTCATAGGTGCCTCCATTGTTTTGTTACTTAACTCCAGCATCTGGGCCCTGGCATTGCCTCTCTGTTTCACCAAATCCATCTCTATCGAAACACGATAAAATAGTAATCTGAGAATTCCCCAACCCCCATCCACTTTATGAACAAATTTGTGTTATTTATCTATTCAAACAAACCTATGGATAATTCTTATGGTTATAGTCTTTGTTCAACCTTTAAAAGATGACATCCATTTAGATCATTTTAATCTAGCACCAGAGTAAGAGGTCACTTTTTTTTTTTTAAGGACAATATTATCAAATGAAATGTGTGTCACTCTTACCTTTCTGTGCTTCTAGACTCGCTGACCCCAGAGATAGAAGCTGACCGCACTGGCGGCAGAACAGATGCTGAAAGGACAATACAAGGTAGGAATTTGCAAAAGGCTATAAATCTAGATCTTGCTATATGAGTTTTTTCCTCAGCTTTAGCCTGCTATTCAAGCATGTAGCCTACCATCTGGGCCACATCAAAACAAGTTCAAACAAGGTCAAGTTCATCTTGCTTGTTTATATGAGTGAATTCATTTTGTGCTGATAGATTTTCTTTAAATTAACAGGTCATTTCTGTTTATGCAGTGTAATTAAAAAGGAATAATTAATTTTAAACAATGTATGATTTCATCTTAGACACAGTAAGTGTGTTTTTATTGAATGCTTGAAGCTCAATCTAATGCAGGAAGGATTTATAAGTTCTATTCTATATATAAATAAAATCATGAGTTAATTGAACAGGGATTTCTAATCATTTGAAAATGTCTTCTCATTTTGTGATAGTTACTGTCAGACACATGCAAAATAGTCTAGTTGAATGTTAACAGTAAATAAAATTGTTTAATCCTGTGTGGATTTTTCCAATGTTCTGTATGCCATTGTAGCCATTTTAATAAGACAAATCTGCTGAGCAAAATCATCAATAGAATACTAAAGGAAGTTGTGTTATACACTCAGAGAAGCTAAATATATATATATATATATATATATATATATATATATATATATATATATATATATATATATTGCCAAGATCACACTATAAGGAAAGGACAAAATTTGAAGATAACATCTATAGTCTAACATCTATTCTAGACAGGAAACTCAATCTAACTTCATGAATACAAAACAGTGAAAAAGAGCATTTACTTTCTATTTTAAATGAAGATGATTCTTCAAAGCAAAGCCCAAAATGATTAATTGCTATAATCCTCCCAATTGCTTTTATTTTGCATTTTAAGCTCAATCATGTTGGGGTTATTGTTTGACACTAATTGTGTTACTTAATCAGTTTCAAATGTGTCATTCTTGGTTTAGTGTAAAGGAAATATACCTTTTTAAAGTACCATATATGCAATAAATAAATATCAGAAACTTGAAACATTCCTAGAGAATGTGTTTTGCCTATATTTATTTTACCTGAAAATTGGGATATTTATTTTTTTTTAAATCCTAAGCCATGAACCATGTGTTATTATGAGACATCTCCTTGGATATACAAGATTAATGCAATTGTAAATATAGAAAAAGACTTCATTTTTAAGAGTCTTATGGATTTCAGCAAAATTATAAATGTGTGTACAAGTTATTAAAATCATAAGGCTCTCTTGAATCTCTTTTAAAAATTACATATATAGATTAACAAATATCTAACAAAGTCAGTCCTCCCAATCAGAGCCAATAACCTTAGTAAGACTAATGTAAAAATATCAGCCCTTGCTTGTGTGAGCAGGGGTCGGTTACTCATGCACTGATTTAGCTACTGTCCAAAGTGGTCTAAACAAGCACATGCAACTCTAGGTAAATGTGATATATAAATTACCGGGTGTCCACAGAATTCTCAAGATGGTCAGAATGCAATCTAAGAAAAATTATAGACAATATATTTTTGCACATAAATGGGAGATTTGTCAATAATATTAAGAAATGTTTAGGCAATGATGACAAATCTTTGCATAGTTGACATAATATGTATTTTAAGAGTTTGCTATCAAAAATATTTTGGTCATCAATAAGTTTACAGATATTATTTGAACCTTCAAAATTCACATATATTCAAATACACACTTTATTATGGATGAAATCTTGCTGTATGTGGTTGAAATATTGAGTTTTCTCTTTAATGTGATTTGCTTACTCTGAGGAAACTTTTTAATCATAAATTGCCTTTTTCCTATTCAGAATGCTATCAGTTGGGTAACATAGAAGACCTACCCAAATAACCTCATAATTAAGGAAACAAATATTTGAACAAGTATACATATTAACTTTAAGCCAAATATAAATGATTATGAGGTTATTTATTGCTTTTGTTTAATTATAATAAGAATCTTCATTCATTTATTTATTCACTCATTCATCCAGCCTGTCAATTGAAATTATGTTCCTTAAGTTTAATTTTCTTAAAATTGTTTAATACACAGTTGGTTTTCAATAAAATTCTTAACTAATATTCATTATTTTAATTAGGTAGTATAAGCTTTATCAAATGTAATTTTAAAAAATACTGTACATGAATTTGTATTTCTGTGTGTTGGTTGCTAAAAAGTTATCTAGTCAGCAGTTGAACTTACCCAAGACTTTTAAAATATAACAGCAAATGGATCACCTTTTGCTACTCTAATTCCACTAAATAAGTTCATTTAACCCTTTGAAGATTTTTTACCCTTAGAAACTAAATCCATATATTTGGAAGCTAACACAGAGAGCAAAATTAACTGTGAACAAAATGAATCAAAGCAAAAAGACTCTAGTTAAGTTCTGAGTTTAAGCATAAGAATGGGAAAGACGAAGAGGGAAGAACCAGGACTCATTACTGATTTGTGAAATGGTCTGTGTCAGGCGTTTGGGGAGCCATAGTACCTGCTGCTTCATAGTTCAGGAATGACACAAACTCAGCCTCCTGCTCCCTTAGCCTTTTCTCTCTGTGTCCCTGAGCCCAGGTGTTATGATATCCTTTGTAACTCTTTCTTGCTCCCAATCCAACCATAACTGAAATTATTCTCTCTTTCAAAATAAACTCAGCCTAATTAGGACAGACAAAGGAAACCCACATTTCTTCATGCTTGCCATGTATTTATTTTTAACATTTTGACAATTAAAATTGCCACACTTGGCCCAAGAGTCAGTTACCTAAGAGTCAGACACTGCAATACTGCTCAGGTGCCAAGTCATTACCTCCAATAAGCACCTCAGGTTAGACTGAATGTTGCCTTTTCGGCATTAAAGATCACAATTTCTAAAACAAACAAACAAACAAAACAAAACAAACAAACTATAGAGGAGGGGAAGTGGAGATAAGAAAGCAGTTTAAAAATATTCCTGAGGAGCCGAAACCGGTTTGGCTCAGTGGTGGAGCGTCGGTCTGCAGACTGAAAGGTCCTGGGTTCAATTCCGGTCAAGGGCGTGTACCTTGGTTGTGGGCACATCCCCGGTAGGGGGTGTGCAAGAGGCAGCTGGTCGATGTTTCTCTCTCATCGACGTTTCTAGCTCTCTATCTCTCTCCTTTCCTCTCTGTAAAAAATCAATAAAAATATATTTAAAAAAAATATTCCTGAGGAAAGAGGCCCTAAATAAATTACTTATCTTGATAAGTAAGATATATCAGCTCATACTACACAGGGATGAATTCATAATGGATGCTTCTATTTATTTTTATTAATTGGTTGATAAAAATATATATATATATATATATATATATATATATATATATATATATATATATATTTGATTTTTTTACAGAGAGGAAGGGAGAGGTATAGAGAGCTTGAAACATCAATGAGAGAGAAACATCAACCAGCTGCCTCCTGCACATCTCCCACAGGGGATGTGCCCACAACCAAGGTACATGTCCTTGACCAGAATCAAACCTAGGACCCTTCAGTCTGCAAACCGAAGCTCTATCCACTGAGCCAAACCGGTTTTGGCTGATTGGTTAATTTTAGAAAGAGAGGGAGGAAGAGAGAGACACCAATTTGTTGCACCACCCATTTAGGCATTCATTGGATGCTTCTTGTGTGTATCCTGACAAGAGACAAAACCTGCAACCCTGGTGTAGCTGTATGACACTCTCACCAACTGAGCTACCCAGCCAGGGTTTCATTGCTTATAACTTGTCATAACTAACTCACAATTTATCAGTTTGGATGTGATATTATGAATTAAAAAATTAAAATACAAAAACTTGATTTAAAAGCTGATCTGCATAGTGATTAATGCTCTCATACCTGAGTCTTACATGTCCTGGTTTGTGCTGGAATTTTAAAAAAATATATTTCTAATCTTTTTGTAAGATCTTTTGAACATATAGAGTAGACAATGTTTTGCACCAGACATTAAATATCCTCCAAAACCCTTACTGTATGTGTAGGTTACATATACACACACTATATGCAGTCAATTCTGTCACTTGATGGCTCTCTTTAGCTAGGTCCTAATCTCTTTTTATTCTATCTTTCTAAGCAACAGTATCCGCCTAAATAACTTATGTATCTTGACAACTATAAAAACTATCTTCTCAGCCCATTCAGACATCTGTTAAGAGCACCAGATAAGCCGGACCGGTTTTGCTCAGTGGATAGACTTAGAGCGTCAGCCTGCGAACTGAAAGGTCCGGGGTTCGATTCCGGGCAAAGGCATGTAGTACCTTGGTTGCGGGCACATCCCCAGTAGGGGGTGTGCAAGAGGCAGCTGATCGATGATTCTCTCTCATCAATGTTTCTAACTCTCTATCCCTCTCTCTTCATCTCTGTGAAAAATCAACAAAATATATTTTTAAAAAAATGAGCATCAGATAATCTTCAACTTTTATTTGGCTGTCTCACTGGGATGTCGAGGTCAGTGCACAAAATAGAAAGGATCCTCCCTCCCTACCCCTCCCAACCTTCCTATCCCCCCTCCCCCCGTGCTCCCTCCCTATGGTACCCTCATCTGTCCAATCAGATATCCTCCTTGATATGTAATGAGGAAGGAGTCAGCATGGCATTTCCCTGCCACACCCTTTACACCTAATTACAAGTCTCCCCCATCATTCTCTGTGCTTTTATGACACTGGAATTCCCGCTCCCCCCCAAAAAAAGCCTCACATTTTGCCCCTTCCAGGCAGATTTGCCTTCTTCCCTGCCTTTACTCACCCATTCGGTTGGTCTCATCTAAGAAGTTACTGCCTTCAGAAATGCTTCCTAGACTCCAGGACTGACCCTAGACTCCATGCCTGATCCAGCACCTCCCTGACCCCTGGATCTAGTTAAGCCTCTTAGAGGTTCTGAGCACACCTCTCACTTCTCCATAACGGTATGCTGTCCACCTAGAGTTCCTAGTTCAAATCTTTCTCTCCGCAAGAAGCCAGCAGAGCATGAACCACACCAGTTTTGTTC